TCGCCCAGGCTAGAGTGTAATGGCATGATCTCAGCTCACTGCAATCTCCACCTCCCAGATGCAAGCAATTCTTCTGCCTCAGCCTCCAGAGTAGCTGGAATTACAGGTTCCTGCCACCACGCCTGGCTAATGTTTGTATTTTTAGTAAAGACGACGTTTCACCACGTTGGCCAGTCTGGTCTCGAACTCGTGACCTCACGTGATCCACTCGCCTCAACCTCCCAAAGTGCTGGGATTACAGGCATTAACCACTGCATCAGGCCAAACAACTATATTTTAATGAAAATAACTGAGGGAGAGCCCTGGAGTGCATCAGAGGAGTAACAGAAACCCTGGTATGCACAGAAACTTGGGATGACCACACAGAGAACAGAAAGAAACACTGAGCCTCCACTACATCTCCAAATCAGGATCAGCTGGGAACCAGCAGGAACTTCTCCCCTGCAGTGAACGAATAAGCAAGAGGATCCCAGCAATCCCCATCAACACCTTGGACACCTACACTGGGGTCCCCAGCACTGTTCTTAGGCACTAAGCCCATCTGGGGGAGCTGCCTGGAGTCCACTTAAGTGTACCCACCCCCCACCCGAGAGAAGGAGCTGATACTGTGCTCCACGCACTGTGGTCCAAGCAGCCACTGCACTACTCCATCTTGGCAGTGGAGCAGTAGAACTATAGCTGGAGTATGTCTTGCTCCAGGGGCAAGTAGCCATGACTCCTCTTTATCGTTAAGGGTACGCTATCACCAAATTACCCCAGCCCAGTGGCCTGACAGCCCTGTCGAGCTGCAAGCACCTGTTACACCTTGTGCCTTGGCCACTTAAAGAGGTCATACCTCGGCCAGGCGCAGTGGCTCACACCTGTAATCCCAGCACTTTGGGAGGCCAAAGCAGGCATATCACCTGAGGTCAGGAGTTTGAGAACAGACTGGCCAACATGGTGGAACCCCGTCTCTACTAAAAATACAAAAAAAATTAGTCGGACGTCATGGTGTGCACCTGTAGTCCTAGCTACTCCAACCTGGGCAACAGAGCGAGACTCCGTCTCTATTAAAAAAAAAAAAAGAAGTCATACCTCTCCAGTGCCTAAATTGAAGTAGTATGTTGTGTCTCAGGAAGCAGTGCCTTAGTCATCCAGAGCAGTCACACACGCCAGTACCTAAGCTGAAGTAGTACCCTGCATATCAGGGAGACTATGTGTGGGCCACCCAGAACAGGCATAGCCCTATGCCTGAGCTGAACTGGTGCTGGGGAATTGGTGCCCTGGAAGAGCTGAGCAACTCTGTATCCCATAGATATTGGGATAGCCCAAATATTGAGATACAAGAAAATACCAATAGACAACTCAACAAAATTGGGAAAGCAGGCCGGCCGCTGTGGCTCACGCCTGTGATCTCATTACTTTGAGAGGCCGAGGCAGGCAGAATACCTGAGGTCAGGAGTTCGAGAGCAGCCTGACCAACATGGAGAAACTCCGTCTCTATTAAAAATACAAAATTAGCCAGGCGTGGTGCGCATGCCTATTATCCCAGCTACTCGGGAGGCTGAGGCAGGAGAATCGTTTGAACCTGGGAGACAGAGGTTGCGGTGAGCTGAGATTGCGCCATTGCTCTCTAGCCTAGGCAACAAGAGCAAAACTCTGCCTAAAAAAAAAAAAAAATTGGGAAAGCAGTTCGCAATATGAACAAGAAATTCAGCAAAAAGATAGAAATTTAAAAAGAACCAAACAGAAATCTACAGCTGAAGAATTCAATGAAAAATACAAAATACAATAGAGAGCTTCAACAGCCGATTTGATCAAGCAGAAGAATATCTGAACTTGAAGACAGGTCATTTGAAAAAAAAAATCAGAGTCAGAAAAAGAAGAAAGAATGAAAAAGAGTGAAGAGCGCCTCTGAGACTTATGGAACACCAGTAAGCAAATAAATATTTGTATTATGGGAGTTCCAGAAGGAGAAGAGAAAGGGAAAGGTGTAGAAAAATCTACTTAATGAAATAATAGGTTGGGCATGGTGGCTTACACCTGTAATCCCAGCACTTTGGGAGGCCAAGGTGGGCAGATCGATTTAGCTCAGAAGTTTGAGTCCAGCCTGGGCAACATGGTGATACTCCATCTCTACAAAAAATACAAAAATTAGCCAGGCATGGTGGCATGTACCTGTAGTCCCACCTACTCAGGGGGCTGAGGCAGGAGGATCACTTGAACCTGGGAGGTTGAGGCTGTGACAAGCTGAGATCACACCACTACACTCTAGCCTGGGATGACAGAGTAAGACCCTGTCTCAAAAAAAAAAGAAATAATAGCTGAAAACTTCCCAAATATGGGGAGAAATATGGACATCTAGATCTAGGAGGCTCAAAAGTCTCCAAACAGAACAATCCCTAAAAGGTTCCTCCCAAAGCACATTGTAGTCAAATTGTCAAGTCAAAGACAGACAGAATTCTAAAAACAACAGAAAATCATCAAGTCACTTAGAATCCTCATTAAACGAACAGCAGATTTCTCCACAGAAACTTTATAGGCCTGGAGAGATTGAGATGATACATTCAAAGGACTGAAAGAAAACAATTGTCAACCAAGAATGCTATACCCAGTTGAGGATCATTTGAGCTCAGGAGGCAGAGGTTGCAGTGAGCTCTGATTGCACCACTGTACTCCAGCCTGGGCAATGGAGTGAGACCCTGTCTCAATCAATCAATCAGTCAATCAATAAGAATCCTATATCCAGCAAAGCTAACTTTTGGAAATGAGGGAGAAATAGTATTTCCCAGACATGCAAAAACTGAAGAAATTTATCCCCACTAGATTCGACCTATAGGAAATGTTCGAGGGAGTCCTACATCTGGAGGCAAAAAGTCAATAATCATTATATGGAAACAACAGTATAAAACTCACTGGTAGAACAGATACACAAGAAAGAAAGAGAAAAGATT